CGGGGGCTTCTCCATCTTGAAGTGGAATTGAAGGAAGAACTGGGAATGGGAGGAAAACAGAGAAAAGGGAACAATTAATCAGAGATTCACAGAATCCTGGAATATTCTGAGCTGGGAGGGACCCTCAGGGATGATCAGTGCAGCCCCTGGCCCTGCCCAGAGCCCCCAACAAGCCCACCCTGAGCATCCCTGAGAGCGCTGGCCAAACGCTCCTGGAGCTCTGGCAGCCTTGGGGCCGGGCCCATTCCCTGGGGAGCCTGGGCAGTGCCAGCACCCTGGTGACAGCTCTGCCAGCACACAGGAGCTGCTCTCTGCCCCAGAGCACAGCTCAGGCCTCTCCTGTTGCCCTCATATGTCACAGCCCTGGCAGCATCTGTGACTGGCACCAGTCTTGCTCCAGATTTTACCTCCCCTGGACTCTGAGCCCTGAGGGGCTCCTGAGAGGGGTGGGAACCCCCCAGGCAACGTCTCCTGCTCTGACAGGATACAGGGAGCTCCCCCAGGCTCCCTCAGCCAGGTGTGTGCACAGAACACAAGGCACAGAGCCAGGGAGGGGACAGAGCTGCACATTTATCATGGAATCATTTGGGTGGGAAAAGCCAAACCTAACCCTAAGATCAATGAGTTCAACCATCAGCCCAGCAACACCACCATATTCACCACTAAACCATGTCCACACATGCCACATCCACATGTTTTTAAACACTTCCGGGAGTGGTGACTTCACCACTGCCCTGGGCAGTCTGTTCCAATGCCTGACAATGCTTTTAGTGAAGGAATTTTCCCAATATCCAACCTAAATCTCTCCTGACACAGCCTGAGGCCGTTCCCTCTGGGCTTTTCTCCTGTTCCCAGAGCCTGACACCAATCTGGTTGCACCCTCCTGTCAGGGAGGTGTAAGAGCAAGAAGGTCTCCTCTGAGCCTCCTCTTCTCTGGATATTTATGCCCCATCCTGCTGCTGCCAGAAATTTAATCCTTCCCAAGATCCCACACAGGAGGAGCTCTGTCAGGAGCTCTCACTGTACAGGTGCACTGAGGGAATAAGAGATTTGAACATCAGAGGCAGCAGGACAGAACTGATGTCATTGTCTCAAGTTGCTCTGCTCCCCATAAGGACAGACATTACAAAACCTCAGTTACCTGTTTGGTTTCTCTGTTCCAGTGAGTCCAAAACTTTCCCTCTGCTTTATCAATTTCTCTGCTTGGCACCTGCACCAAAAGAGAACATAGAGCTATTCTTAGCAGCACCAGATTAGCTCAAAGGCCCTTTTTAGCCCCAGAGCCTGTAGATAAGCACAGTTATTCCAGGCCCTGCAGGGTTGTTATTAGACAGAGGTGGGGGCAGGAAAGAATTAAGTTACTTCCCTATCGGTCAAGGACAACTAGCAAAAATCCCTCCCTGAACATCTGCACAGAGGCTGAGGAGTGAAGCCCAGGAGGCTCCTGTCTGTGCCAGACACTGGGAATTCACAGCTCCCCAGAGCTCAGCACAGTCTGGTTTTCATGCCAGAGTCCTCCACCAAACTTCAGTGGGGTTTAATGACTTCCAGCCATGTCTTCCTGACCCCCCTTCCCAGTCCATTAACCCCTGAGGGTTAGCACAGACATCAGAGGGTTCATTAGGAATCAATCACAGAATATCCTGAGGGACCCTCAGGGATGATCAGTGCAGCCCCTGGCCCTGCCCAGACCCCCCAACAAGCCCACCCTGAGCATCCCTGAGAGCGCTGGCCAAACGCTCCTGGAGCTCTGGCAGCCTTGGGGCCGGGCCCATTCCCTGGGGAGCCTGGGCAGTGCCAGCAGCCTCGGGGGGAAGAACCTTGCCCTGAGATCCATCCCAAGCCCTGGCACAGCTCCAGCCCTTCCTGGGCTCCTGTCCCTGTCCCAGAGCAGAGCTCAGCCCCTGCCCCTCCGCCTCCCCTCAGGAGGAGCTGCAGCCCCCAAGAAGCCTCCCCTCAGTCTCCTCTGCTCCAGCTGAACGAGCCAAGTGCCCTCAGCTGCTCCTCAGAGCCTTCCCCAGCTCCGTGTTCCTCCTCTGGACACTCTCTAATGGCTCAGCATCCTTCTCACATCACAGTGACCACACACAACACTGTTGGTGAGGCTGCCCCAATGCAGAGCAGAGCAGCACAATCCCCTCCCTTGACCTAGCAAAGGCAGGAAGGGAACTCTCCCAGGTTTCCTCTCCCAGGTGTTTCCCAGGTCTCACCTTGAAGGCGATGGTCTCATAGGGCTCTGCTGCCATCAGCAGGTACTGCCAGCGCCGGTCCGGGGGCTCGATGCGCTGCTCGTAGGCCGACATGAAGCGGTGCCGGGGCATGATGCTCTCAGCTATCTCGGGGTAATCGATCTGGGGGGGTACAGCAGCTTTAGCAATCCCCCCCTGCACCCCCACCTCTGCTCCAAACTTATTTCCCAGGGTGGAGCATACCCAGAGCAATCCCCAACACAAAGGGAACAAACAGCAGAGGGAAGGGCTGAGAATCACAGAATGGTTTGGGTCGGGAGGGACCTTAAAGACCCCAAACTGAAACAGGTGAAATTTAGGAGAGATATTGGGAAGGAATTGTTCCCTGTGAGGGTGGTGAGGCCTGGCACAGGTTGTCCAGAGAAGCTGTGACTGCTCCATCCCTGGAAGTGTCCAAGGCCAGGAAAGAGCAACCTGGTCTCATTGAAGGTGTCCCTGTGTCCGTGCCCATCACAGGGGGTTGGAAATAGATCATTTTTAAGGTCCCTTCCAGCCCAAACTCTCTGTGATTCTGGGATCATCTCATTCCACTTCACACTACACACTCCTCTCCCACTACACAGCCTGGCAGCTGAGCTCAGGGATTTGCTCAACACAACCACCTGCAGAAACTAGAAAGATAAGGCCTCCTTAATATTGCCTCATTATTACTGATTTCCATGGATCCTGCAAAGAACTGTTCATTCAGCAGCAGTTTTATCTGGAAAATCCTGACAAGGAGAGTTTTAACCCTGCCCTTACCTGGAAGAGAAGGCTCTGCTGGCCTGTTTCTGGGTCTCTCTGTTTGGTCACTGTAAAAAAATAATAAGAAAGCTGAGAACATCCTCCAGCAGGGTGAGAGCACCATTAATCTACTCTGAGAAACACAAAAAGCTTCCAATAATTAAATATTACAAGATTTTTCTCCTGTTTATCAAAAAAAATGTCACATTATCTTTAACCAAATCTCCTTCTGTGAGGGTGGGCAGGTCCTGGCACAGGGTGCCCAGAACAGCTGTGGCTGCCCCTGGATCCCTGGAAGTGTCCAAGGCCAGGCTGGACGGGGCTTGGAGCAGCCTGGGACAGAGGAAGGTGTCCCTGCCCACAGCTGGGAAGGGCAGAGCTTTAAGGTCCCTTCCAACCCAAACCATTCTGGGATTGTGTCACTGCTGTGGGCAGGTTTGGGCCCTTCTCCCCAAGGACATTGAGGGGCTGGAGCATGTCCAGGGAAGGGAACAGAGCTGGGAAGGTTCTGGAGCACCAGGAGGGGCTGAGGGAGCTGGGAAAGGGGCTCAGCCTGGAGCAAAGGAGGCTCAGGGGGCCCTTCTGGCTCTGCACAAGTCCCTGCCAGGAGGGGACAGCTGGGGGGGTTGGGCTCTGCTCCCAGGTAACAGGGACAGGAGGAGAGGGAACAGCCTCAGGCTGGGCCAGATTTAGGCTGGATATTGGGAAAATTCCTTCCCTGAGAGGGCTGGAAGCATTGGAAGGGGCTGTCCAGGAATCACCATCTCTGGAAGTGCTAAAACACCTGTGGATGGGACACCAGGAGACATGGTTTAGTTGTGGCCTTGGCAGTGCTAAGTTTACTGTCCAATTCAGCGATCTCAAAGGTATTTTCCAACCTAAATTATTCAATGATTCTCTTCTACTGCTGTGGGACAAAGCACTGGCAAGAATAAAAAGCAAAACTTTGTACTGAAGGCCAAAACTATGTGAGTTCTGCATGGAGTAAGTAATTCACAGCATTAATGAAAGGTGCTGCAGCAGAGGAGAAGGAGGAGAGATGAAATGCCATCATCTCCCTGGCAGCCTGAGACACACCCATCTATTATTAAAGTGGTTCTCCCTGGCCAGTCAGCAATAAAGAGATGTTCCATGAACAATCTAAACAATAAAAAGACTCCAGGAGAGGTATCTTAATGGGCAGAGCTGCTAAAAAGCCTAATGAATAATTCACAGCCCAGCTGGGCACTGCAGGGACTGCCCATCAGGGACCTCCTGGCCACCTCTGACTCACCTTTGTAGCCTGGGCGCCCAATTTTCACAAATTTCTTCACTTCCACTTTGACCTTCTCTGGGGCAGGCTGGGCAGGGGCTTCCTTGGCTTCCTTGGCTGCTCGTCGGGCCCTGGGGATGAATTTCAGAATTTAAGGGTTACCTGCCCTTGTTTCTAAAGGATACCCAGGAGCAATTTGAATCCCTCAGCACAGCATTTCACAGGAATCATGCCAAGAAATCCTATTTTCCTTCCCCAGCTGTATCCATCCTCCCCCTAGCTAAAGGCTGTCACTCAATCTGATCCACCCTCACGATGACCTTGAGGCCAGGGCTCCACAGATGGATTTGAGAAGACTTTAATTCTTGAAATCAAACTGAAAAAAAAAAAAGGCACCAAGCCCACAGATAAAGCACACTGGATTCCTTAAAATAAAACTCATTAACTTCTCCAAACCTGTACTGACAGATCCAGATCACAGAATCTTGGAATCTCCTGAGCTGGAAGGGACCCTCAGGGATCATCAAATCCAACCCCAGACCCTGTCCAGACCCCCCAACAATCCCACCCTGAGCATCCCTGAGAGCGCTGTCCAAACGCTCCTGGAGCTCTGGCAGGCAGAGTTCCATCTAACCAGACTCAGACAATTTGCTTTTAAAACTCTTTCTCCCTCTTCCTTCAGAGATTTCACAACTGGATTTGAACTTTAGCTCAAAATGGGAGATTTTCAGCACCATTTTTCATGCAGGTTCAGGCTGTGCCTCCTGGCTGCATGAGGAACCACAGTAAAAGAACAATCAGGCAGGGTGCAGTGGAGTTAAAGGAATACAGATACCCAACATCATAACATTAAAGTGCTTCAGTAAGGGAGAATAAAGTTATGGTAGAGAATGACTTACAAATTGGTCTGATGCTTCTTCCCCTGGGTATGTGCTAAGTAACTCCCCTGAAATAAAAACCAAGGTAGAAGTTAAATGAAGTCATGATTGAAACTCTCCTGTCACAGGGAGATTATATCACAGCCTGACAGGGGTGTTTTATTCCTCACCACAGAGGAATCTCACTCCAAAAGTGCAGATTGCACTCAGTTGCTAAGCTGTTCTACACTGTCAGGTTTAACCACCCCTCATGGCTCAGCAGCCACTGTCCAAGTGCTGAAGGTACTGTTATTCCCAAATTGCTGCTGCTGGGATCAGGACAGGCAGGCCTTCCCCTCACCTCATTGTTGTGGAGCGTCAGGCAGAGCTTGCACTCGTAGGAGCCCAGATGATTTTTCATAAAATATGGGTCCTGAGAAAAGAATGATTGACAAGTTATGAGCGAAATCCACTGGCAAAGCAAAAGAACAACCAAAATACTGCAGAGTTCTGCACTAGAGGAAGTGGCTCTTCCCCCCGAGGGTGCTGGCACTGCCCAGGCTCCCCAGGGAATGGGCCCGGCCCCAAGGCTGCCAGAGCTCCAGGAGCGTTTGGACAGCGCTCTCAGGGATGCTCAGGGTGGGCTTGTTGGGGGCTCTCTGATGACCCCTGAGGGATCTTTCCAGCTCAGGATTTCCTAGAATCCTGTAGCTGAGTTCAGATTTTAAATTATCAGCACTAGAGAACTCTATGAGGAGGAAAAGAGAGGACCAACAGCAGCTGTGTGCATTGGTGACAGAATTCCCGACTGCAGCACGAACACCACAACCCAAAACAGCCCTGGGGAGACTGGAAATAGATGGATAAACAAGAGCTGTCATCTCCCTGTCACTGTGTCCCAAACTTTCTTTATTCAACCCCCACATGCCCAGAAACAGAAGTATTTAAACCCAGTCCAAGCCCCAGCCTGGAGATAAAAAGGCTCTGGTTCCACAGAACCTAAAGGGGCTCCAAGAGGACTGGAGGAAGACTTTGGAAAAAGGCCTGGGGGACCAGGACAAGGGGGAATGGCTTCAAATAGACCAAGAGTAGGTTTAAATGGATTATTGGGAAGAAATTGTTGGCTGGGAGGGTGGGCAGGCTCTGGCACAGGGTGCCCAGAGCAGCTGTGGCTGCCCCTGGATCCCTGGAAGTGTCCAAGGCCAGGCTGGACGGGGCTTGGAGCGACCTGGGACAGTGGGTGGTGTCCCTGGATGAGGTTTAATATTCCTTTCAACCGAAGCCATTCCAAAATCCCAGGAATGTGACACTTCCAGAGCCAGCTGCCGCAGCCGCTCCCGCCGGTCCCGGTTGCTCTCGGAGGCCGAGGCCACGCCACCGCTGCCCGTTTTACCCCCAGGGCGGTGCTGGAAATCCATGGTGAGGACTTCTGGGCTTCAGCTCTTCCTGGAGAAAGGGAGAGTCTGGGAAAAGGAGGGAAAGCAGTGTGAGCAATAATGGAACCAGAGCATTGTTCAGCCCTGTCAGTGAGGATGGGGATGACACCCCAGACGTACCCTGGGCACACGGGATGCAATCCCACACGGAGCACATCTGGTACCACCAACTCAGAGAACATGAGTAAAAGGATCCAGAAAATCCCCCCAGAGCCTTCCCCATCTACTCAGCCACTCCCAAACCCAGCTGGGCCCCAGTGAGGCCAAGCAGCCCCACCAGAGGCTCCCCCAGATCCCCAACAGGAGCCTGCCCCCCTCACCTGAGGCACCAACAGCTCCCCCCTCTCCATCACCCAGGCCTTGTGCTCTGCCACCATCTCCCAAAACGCCAGGGCCACCACCATGGGAGGGTCAGAGGCCCCAACAAGATCAGGGGCTCTGAGCAGTGTCCCCAAGCCCCGGGTAAAGTCCTGGAGCTCTCCTGCCCTCGACAAGGGCCCTCCCCCCTAGATCTCCCCACACGGAGCCCAAACACTGTAAAGACCTTTGAGGAATCCCAAATCTTTCCCCACAGAGAGCCCAGTTCTCCCAGTGCCTCTCCCCCAGATCCTGTCCTCTAAGTCTAGTCCTGCTTCTCCTGATCCTCCCAATTCTCCCCCCATTTTCCCTGTCCTAATTCTCCAGTACCCCCAGTCCTCCCACCCAGGTCACACAGTTCTCCCAGTCCCCCTCCAGCAACTCAAGTCCTGATTCTGCAGTCAATGGGCTCCAGGTACCCCCAGTCCCGCCCTCCTGTTGCTCCCAGTAGCTCTGCTCTGGTCCTACCCCAGTTTCTCACTCTTCATTATCCAAACCCTCGGTTTTCCAGCCCAGATTCTCCAGTACCCCCAGTCCTCCCACCCGGAGAACTGAGAACCCAGAGAACCCAGCTCCCGCAGTGCCTCTCCGCCAGTATTTTTCCAGCAACTCCGTCCCAGTTCTGCACTCGGGCCCCCGCCAGCTGCCCCCGGTCCTGCCCCGCTGACCCTCCCAGTAGCCCCAGTCCTGCCCTGGTCCTACCTCCAGCTTCCCACTCGTGATTTTCCAGTTTCCCCAGCCCCACCACCCCAGTTCTTCCAGTCCCTCCTCACCCAGCTCTCCCAGTTTTCCAGCTCCGATTCCCCAGTTCCCCCTCACGCGGTTCCCGCAGTCCTGCCCTGCTCCCGCTCTCCCCTCAGGCCCCGCTCTCCCCCCCAGAGCCCCCTCTCCCCTCAAGCCCTGCTCTCCCCTCAGGGTCCCCCTCTCCCCTCAGG